AAAAAAAAAAAAAAAAAAATTCGCGCCTTGAAAAAAACTCGCGTCATATTGCGATAAGGCGCGACTTGACACGTTATTTGGGCGTCACGCTTAACAAACCCGCCTTGGACATTTTCGTAACGGCTACACCACGCCTCGCGCCATGGCACGCCTTGAGGTAGGGGTGAGCATTTGGACCGGTGGACCGGACCGGACCGGACCGTTTTTTTGGACTCCCGGGCCGGTACTCGGTTCTAGGAATCCATCCCGGTCCGGTCCGGTTTTTACCGGGTTTAGAACCGGTTGGACCCGATTTAAAAAAAAAATTTAATCTGTGAAAATTTTTAAACAACCATAACTCATTCGTTTTAAATCGGATTGACATGCGGTTTTTTCCAACGTTTAACTTACAGTTTGTAGATGAATTTAGACTATAATTTTGTTGATTTTGGTATTATATTCAATGAGTTACAGTCTTTCAAAGTTGAGCTATCAAAGCTGGAAATTTTCAGCTTTTCGGCAAGTTTTTTAAAATTTTGTAATCTGTGAAATTTTTTAAACAACCATAACTCATTCGTTTTAAGTCGGATTGACCTGAGGTTTTTTCCAACATTTAGTTTATAGTTTGTAGATAAATTTAGACTATAATTTTGTTGATTTTGGAATTATATTCAGTGAGTTACGATCTTTCAAAGTTGAGCTATCAAAACTGAAATATTTCAACTTTTTAACTATTATTTTAGGCTATAATTCTGAATTTTATATATCTTTGATAGATAAATCATATGAAAGAGATCTTGATGAACTTGATTTATATGTTAGTTGATTTTATTTGGAAAATTAATTTTGCAAGTTATAATATTATAACATCAAGATAGATTAGTTATGCATGAAACGAAAACATAATCATTTTTACAAGTTGTATCGTATCAAACCTAAAAACTTATTTTAACGACTTGTACTCTATGCAATTAAAGTTGTACCGGTCCAAACGGGTCTAAGACCCGGAAAACCCGGACCAGGACCCGGACCCGAACACGAACACGGACACGACTCATCCGGTCCGGTCCACGGTCCACAATATTCTCCATAACCAGTCTGGTCCAAGCGCCGGTCCGGTCCGATTCGGTCCAAATGCTCACCCTACCTTGAGGCGCGCCATGACGCGTTTTTTAGAACCATGGTTTTTATATAACATTTTAGATATATCAGGAACGATTAGTTAAAATTTGAAAAAAAAAAAACTATTGGAAGAGGTTAGTCATTAAAAGGGTCATTGAATCATATGTTAAAGTCGGTGGAACGATCAGTTTGACAATTTTTTTAGAGTAAATTACAAGAATGGTCCCTATGGTTTAGGGTAATTTGCGTGTTTGGTCTCTAACTTGTTTTTTAATTCGGAAGGTCCCTACTGTTTGTTTTTGTTACGCGTTTGGTCTCTGTCTTACCTAAAAAGACTATTTTGCCCTTAATTTTTTAATTTATTTAAATAAACACAACCCCAACCCCACCCCTCACCTTACCTTACCTATCCTACCATTTTTTCCTATTTAAATAATAGTCTTTTTAGGTAAGACATGGACCAAGCACGTAACAAAAATAAACAGTAGGGACAAAGCGCGTAATAAAAACAAACAGTAGGAACCTTCCGAGTTAAAAAAAATAAGTTAGGTACCAAACGTGCAAATTACCCAAAACCGTAAGGACCATTTGTGTAATTTACTTAGTTATAAAATAGTTTAACGAGTTTTTTACAAAAACATAGTAGTTTTCAAAAGTATTTACCAGGGTAGTTTAAAACTTATTTACAAAATAATTATAGTTTTATTAAAAAAAAAAGAACAGTCTCCAACATCCCAACACGTTCTTTGCCTCATCGTTCATCTTCCATGTGCCGCCGGTCATTGGAAACATTGATTACCATCATCTTCTTCAATTTTCCCTACGGTAAACTTTTATTCACATTGACTTTTTTTGTTTATGTTTGAGTCAAATTTTCCTACGTTGATTTTGACCGGATAAAAGGACTAATCGACTCCTTCACCAATATACTTGTTGTTTGTATATTAATTTTAGGACACTTAAATTTATTGTTTTTGATTCCCTTTCATCAATACGTGGCGTCAATTGAATCAATAAGATTGTTGACTTCACTGTTTATTTTTAATCATGATGGTGTGAATTTCTTTCAAAATTTTCTTTTTTATATTTTATGGGCTTTGTAGTAAATGTAGTTATGTATAAATTAATGTGTTACATTATTTTAAAATTTCTTTTTGTTTCTCGATAGATTTTTATCAACATGACATCAAAATTTGTTACTTTCTTATGCTATCGGGACGGAAAAATTTGTGACGGGAAAAAAGGTATAACTTACGACAAGTGTCTAAGTAAGCTATCAAGGTTCAACGTGGAATAAAATTCAATGACATGGTCAACCAAATCCATTCTGCAAGGACGATAATGACGTTGAAATTATGTTTGATGTGCTTAGTCTTCATCAAGAACTAAGCAACATTGATCTATACTTAGAGGTTGACGTGGGCATCTGACTTTTCCCCAATCCCTCATGAAGCATATTGGCCCGAGACGTCTATTCAAGGAATGCTTCCAAATTCATAATTAAAACGAAAGGAAAAAGGTCGCCCTCACTCCACAAGGCTACGAAATGGAATAGACATTAAAAAAGGAAAGAAAGCTAATCTTTGTGGATTGTGTAGACAAAGTGGTCATAATCAAAAAACATGTCCTTCTAAGCCTAGGAAACGAACTATGGATATGTGAAGGTGTTTGATTGAGTAGTATTTATTCTAGATTTTTGGTTATACATGTTAAAAATTACTTATTTTATATTAATAGTTATTGATTATATAAGATTTATCCGAGTTATATTTATATTTATATCATTTGATGTTTATGTTACATTTGTTGGTATTTTGTTATGTTTCTATTTAAAATGGTTATAAAATAAAAAACCAGACATTTATAAAAAAAAAATAAACTATGTACAATAAAACAATTAAGAATTACTTCTTACTATTTATAATTTAATGTAGTTTAATTTTTTTTAACCGCTCAAGAAAACATATAAATTAAGAGTGATTCAATCCAATAATTTTGAATATAATGAATTGGTAGAAAAAATAAGGTTACCTGGTCTTTTGATTATTGTAAAACAATTTATATTGTCAAACTATAAAAATAATGTAATATCTAAATTATATTTTATTAAATTTAAATGGTTAGAATCTAACTACTAAAAACCAATATAAACCAATATACTATGTTTTGGTAAATAAGTTTGAAAGAACAACCATTCGGTAAATATTTTTTAAAA